TGCATAGACATATAAAGGTACATGTAAAGCATGCATAATTGCTCACACACATACACACACATGCATAGGCGCCGGAACAGGGGGGGCAGAGGGGGCTAAAGCCCCCCCAGTCTTGAAACAGGAGGGGCTGAGCCCCCCCAGAAATTCTCTGCAACTGACTAACAAAGAAAATAAAACTGACTTTTATCAGTAAAATTAGACCTGCAGTCATCATCTCTTCATTTTATTTAAAGAAAAAGACAAGAAAACTACTCTAAATCCAACAATAGAAGATTAGCACCATTTTTTGTAAAATTAGCAGCCATTTTTGTATAAAACCACACCCATTTTAATAACTTAATTGATGTTCAGCCCCCCCAAAATAAATTTTGTTCCGCCGCCTATGCACACATGTACATGTTACATGTACACATGATGTACTTGTTAGTATACACATACACATATTAAAACATATGCACACATACACACAAATACAGTGGAACCCCTTAACTCCGGACACCATTGGGATCTACTGAAGTGTCCTTATTTCAGGGGTGTCCTTAAATCAGGGGTGGTAATAATAGTTATTAAATCAATTAATTCTATTAATTATTGTAGAGTCTAGTTTATTAGTTAGTATTTCATGGTCTTATGGATGAAAATAAGTCTAGAAGTGCAGTTTGTGTGCTGCTCGTAAAGGAAAGATGTAAAGTTAAAAATTATTGAAGAGGATATCAGTGTCCATTGCTAAATCTGCACAGCCTCTGTGGTCAAGGTAAGCTTGTACATCCTCTAAGAGTGATCACTTCTCAAAATGACTTCAACATGGGACTAATGGCTGTTGTTCCTCACCTACCTCTTCATCTCCGGCATCAGCATCATGGGATTCATTGAGTATTAGAATTATATTGATATGTAATTTTTTTTTAATAATAATAATATCTAGTCTAATGCATAATAATTGCCATTGTAACAACGATTAGATCTAAATCAATTATTATTTTAACCCATTGATCATCAGGACCACACCCACTGTCCATTCAAGAGGGGTTAATTTAATACAGCAAGATCATTCCCTTTTTCTAAAAGCGAGGGGTTCGCAACGGGAAGAAAATCTCTACGAGATTACAAAAATTACCAGGATTACCAATTGATTACTGGATTACCAGGAGAATTCCAAGATTATGAGTGGATTACCAAGATTATAGGTAGATTCTTTAGATTACCAGGGATTACAAGCTGGATTACTTGGATTACCAAGGATA